ACTGCACTGCAGCCATGGGCAGTAAGCGAGTGGTTTCAGAGGGGCGTTACCATGGGAACCTTCTCTCGCCGGAAAGTTATCTCGACAGACGCATCCAACTCGGGTTGGGGAGCGGTTTGCGAGGGCTCACCGGCCGCCGGCCAGTGGTCGAGCCACGAGAGTTCCCTACACATAAACTGTCTGTATATGATCGCGGTCGAGAACGCGCTGCTATGCTTCCTCCCGCGCATAAACGGTCACCACGTCCTGATTCGCTCCGACAATATGGCCGTGGTATCATACATCAACCGTCAGGGCGGCGTCAGATCCAAGAATCTCTTTCATCTGACACGCCGCATCCTATTGTGGTCCCAGAGTCACCTGCTCTCGCTCAGAGCGACGCACGTGCCGGGCCATCTGAGCGACGGTCCAGACAGCCTGTCCAGGAACCTGGTCTCCCCCGGAGAATGGTCCCTGCACACTCAAACAGTCCAAACACTGTGGCGCCTATTCGGCAGAGCGGAGATAGATCTTTTCGCTTCAGAAGAGAACGCTCACTGCCCAATATTCTTTTCAAAGAGCGAGGACGCGCTAGCCCAGGATTGGCCCCGCCGCCCGCTCTATGCTTTTCCCCCGATTTCTCTGCTACCGCAGGTCATTCAGAGAATCAGGGACTCACGCCACTCGGTGCTCCTCATAGCCCCGCGCTGGGAGAATCAGATTGGTTCCCGGAGCTAACGCGGCTGTCACAGACAGCCCCGTGGCCCATTCCAATCAGAGCAGATCTCCTCACTCAAGCCCGCGGCTCGATCTGGCATCCCCATCCACAGCGCTGGGCGCTTCATGCATGGGTGACCAACGACTACGCGTCGAATTGCCAGAAGGGGTTTTGAACACGATCAAACACGCCAGAGCGGATTCTACCAGAAAGCTCTATGCTGCAAAATGGTCTGTGTTCTCCAAATGGTGCACCGACAAGAATTTGGACCCACGGACGTGCGAGGTTTCGTCTTTGCTAGTGTTCCTTCAGGAGATGCTGGATAAAGGCAGGTCCCCATCCACTCTTAAGGTTTACGTGGCAGCCGTCGCGGCGTTCGTTGAACCCCGGCGCGCCCAGTCTCTGGGCAAAGACGAGCTAATCATCCGCTTCCTCAGGGGAGCCAGAAGGATGAACCCCCCTCGCCCCCTACGGTGCCGGTCTGGGATCTTTCTATAGTTCTAGAAGCTCTGAAAGCCCCACCGTTTGAACCACTTGAGTCCGTGGAACTAAAATACCTCTCGTTAAAAACCGTTCTTCTGACGGCTCTCGCTTCAGTAAAACGTGTGGGGGACATTCACGCGCTGTCTTCGAGCGCCGCGTGCCTAGAGTTTGGACCGAGTGACTCCATAGTCATTCTAAAGCCTAGACACGGTTATGTTCCAAAAGCGATTGGTACCCCTTTCAGGGCGCAAGTGATCTCTCTATCGGCGCTGCCTGCATCCGATAGCGAACGAGACGCTGACCGCCTCTGCCCGGTTCGGGCTATCAGAGTGCACACTACACGCGTTGCCGCGTTCAGACGCTCGGAGCAGCTGTTGTGTCGTTCGGTGGCCGCACCAAGGGACTAGCCGCCTCGAAACAGACCCTAGCCAGGTGGATAGTAGACGCGATTGCCTCTGCTTATGCCGCTTAAGACCTGCCTCGCCCTCTGGGCATCAGGGCTCATTCCACCAGAGGCATGGCCTCGTCGTGGGCATGGTCCTGCGGGATTTCCATCCATGACATTGTGTGGCTGCGGGATGGGCCTCCCCCTCCACTTTTGTCAGGTTTTATAACTTGGAAGTTCCAGCCTTACAGGCTAAAATTCTGGCGGTCTAGTACTCACAGCCCTCCTATAGAAGCCGCACTATCGGGAGTTCCATCACAACCGGCTCACCCCTTGTGTTCCCCTATGTGCTTATGCATTAGCCTACACATCACGGCCCGCCTTCGCCGGCCGCCTTGGGCGTTTTGCACTAGATGATAACGGCCGCTATGCTGGCCGCCGTATTATCTTCATCCACTTTAGATTCCCCCGGTGTTTCCCCTGGGATGCTTAGTGGTTACTTAGCGCGCACGGCGTTGACCAGGTGTTCCCGTAGCGTAAGCTAGCTTACGCAATACGAGAGAACCTCTCGTAAGAGAACGAATCGGTTACCTAACGTAACCTCGGTTCTCTCTAGATGAGGGAACGAGTATTGCGTTCCCGGCCGTGCTTGCGCCACTAGCGTTTCGCTTCATGCTACAGAATCAACGAACGAGCTGGGAGAGCGACCTTTATACACTGTAGCCACGCCCCTTTTGGCGGGCTGTGACGCAGTGAGCGAGCGCCGTCCGCTCATTGGCCGCGGACTCAGCGCCGCTCTCCCATAGGTTCGTGCATTCTCTCTGAGCGAACCAATGAGCCGCTAGCTAGCCCGCTCATGGTCTGCCTCAGAGGAGACTGCGTTGACAATGATTACAAAATTATGGAATAATTTTTTGGCTTCAACTTCTCAGCAAAGATGAATCTTTCCCGTAGCGTAAGCTAGCTTACGCAATACTCGTTCCCTCATCTAGAGAGAACCGAGGTTACGTTAGGTAACCGATTCGTTTTTAGTGGTGCTATATAAATAAAGCTGAGTTGAGTTGAGTTAATGAAACAGACACCTGCCTGCAATTTTTAAGTAACTGAAAACTTTGGTTAGAATTTTCAGGTGTGTTTGTTTATGGATGTTAGCTAGCTTCCAGTTTTTCTTTTTTGTTTGTTTTTTTGTATTCTATATTATCTCGCTGTGTAGAAGTAAGTAGAAGTAGTATAGCTTTTTAATACCACGTCAGCAACTTCATGGCAATAGAGTTGAATAAATGCAATCAAAACAAAACAGCATTTAAAATCATACATCAACCTGCATGATTTTCTTTCTTTTGCTCAACACAAAAAAAGATATTTTGAAGAATAGGTTTGAGTTGATGGGACCCTATTGACTTCCATAGTATTTTTTTCCATACTGTGAAATAGATTTCAATAGGGGTACATCAACTGTTTGGTTTCTAAAATTCTTCAAAATATATTATTTTTCTGTTCAGCAAAAGAGAGAAATTCCTTCCGGTTTGGAACAACTTGAGGGTGAGTAATTAAATGATGACAGAATTTTCATATTTGTTTGAACTATTTTCATATTTGGTGAATTTTAATAGAAATGAATTAGGTACAGTCAGGTGTCAAATAAAATATAAACACGTATATATCAAATTAAATTAAATGTTGTTAGTAATTGTTTAAAATTGCCATGGCAAAATAGTTCAATATGGTTGGCCAATGTCACACCCAAACAGTTATCAGTTTTGATAGCTAGAAAAGGTCACCTAAACAATTTTAGCCAAGACCTTTAAGATAAAATAAAATGTTATTAATTAGTCATATATTGGGGGGCCTGCAATGATCAAACTCTGGAAACACTCTGCACATTTGAGCCCCCATGTTTATGATGAAAAAAATACATACAATACATTATTTAATAAAATACATAATTTAAGACTTTAAATAATTGAAGTCAGGGACAGAGTGACGAGCATGTGTACAAAACATAATTTTGTTATTTTCGTTATACTTTTAGTTAATAATAATTAGTTATCATATCATGTCTTAGAAGTAATAGTGTTAACAAATGAGACCTTATTGTAAAGTGTTAAAAAATAATAAATAAGAACAAGCAGGCCTACTACAACTCGATTTTGACGTGCGAGTGTCAAAGCAAAACGTGACACTGCTGTGATTCTCATATTTTATATTTCTAGTTCTCATCGAATAATGTGCATCCTTACAAACACACACAAACAAAAAAACACACACACAGTGTCACACACACACTTAATTAAATTAATTATGTTTTAAAAAATATGTTCAAATTATGTTCAGTGTGACCTAATAAATATGCACTTACATCGACATGGTACTTAACATAGTAATGCACGACCCAGGCCGGGAGCAGAATCCGCGTGATGGCAAAAACACTGGCATTATAGGCTTTAAATGTCTGGTTCGTCCGCATAAAAAAAAGATAAGACAAAATTGCATGTTATAATAATATTCTGACGTTAAAATGCTCAGTTAAACTACGCAACATACATTTTCACTCTCTGGATAAATAGATCTAACGTTATAAGGCATAAACTCACGTAAAGTCTCCAGAGTGTCTTGGGCTCCAGAAATCCACCCCAGAATCGTTCGATGCGGCCGGGTGTTTTGGGTGCAGTGACAGGCTCTCGAGGACTGAGTTCCTGATCTTTAAGCCATTGCCGCCGAAGCTTTGTTAACTGCTCAAAGCGGAGCTTTTCATCCACTGTGGATCCAGTCATACTGATTTTTTATTACTTTACAAACAAAGTAGAATGTACAATGACATCTAAAGAGGACAAACCTCCCAGAGTGCAAAGCGAACTCAAGAACACTCAGCATAAACATCGGGCTTTTACACTGCGACACCTATTGATCTGGAGTCAAATAACCACTGTGACGATGATAAGCGAAATAAACCGATAACCACACGAGGTCGTCCGTTACCCAAAGAACCCAGTAGCAATCACGGTAGCAGCACCTCATTGGAGTACACGAGATCCAGGGGGCGGAGTGGGATCCAGATCTAGGGGTGGAGATGGGTAGAATTAAGGGTAGTAGGGCTAGTGATAAGTGGGCGGAAATGGGTAGGTTCAACATGTTGGTAGCCCAACACGGCTTGCTCTACTGATAGAACTACATTATCTGGGTGCAAAAAGCATCTTTGCTGACATAAGATAAAAGTATTCTGTTAAAATTTTTGAAATTTCTTACCAGTGCCCAATTTGTCTATAATTTTCCCCTATCTGCTGCCTTTCAGAAACTACACTGCAGAAGGATATATGTTGTTTTGTTAATACATTGTCCATGTGTTGAGAACATGAGGGCTAAAATGAATGATCACTCCAAACCTATATTTTCACAATGGCTGTTGCAAATTGCAAATAATGACTGTAGACCCACTATGTATAAAACATTTTAATTATTTATATTACAATACAAGAATACATAATACCTTTAGAGTGTGGGCTCAAACATAGCCAGCACCTGGAAAATGTGAACGTACTCAGACACACACACACACACACACACAAAGAAAAAAAAAAAAACACCTTTACAATATTATACAACATCTGAATGCATATTACTTGTTTTCTAAAAGGTAATTTGTTCACAGGTCTCTAGCACAGAACCCTCCCTTCGCAGTCTTTCCGCAAGTTTTACTCATGCTAAAACGCAAGCGCTCCGCAAGATATGCTACTCATGCTGACCTGTCAACAAACTGCTTCATGAACACAAATAAAAGCAGATAGAAAAATTGGGCAGCAAATATGGGTCACAAACCTACAGTCATATAAAGATATAAATCTGATATTACACCTGATGCCTCCCACAATTGGGAGGTGTTAGAAAAATAAGTTTATATCTAATAGAATCTATATGGCAGGAATCTTTTTCATTTAAGTTTTTTCTTTCTTCTAGTGCTTTTATTTGTATAACAAAGGTAAAAGGAATAATATTTAGTTGTATTTTTTTTCTTGGTCATTCTGGTCTGTTCTTTAAATAGCCTTGACCCCCAGTCTTCTGTCCGCATGCCATCTAGCTTTCACTCAAAGCTCAAACATGTTCAGCAGAAAGCTTAATCTGCAAGGCCCAACAAATGCAAAGTATCATCACAACATGCCATCATTTTTTTTTTTTTTTTTTTTTTTTTTTGTGGAGTTATAGAACACTCATATGAGATCCTTGGACACCTGGCTCTTTTCACATAATTATATGTGTACCTCTCTGCTGACATAGGCCTACACTCTTTTCTTTTTTTCTTTTAGTGTTTTAAAGCTTTCAAAACCCCTGCAGCCACTGAATAGCCCTGTCTCTGTCACAAGTATTTCTTTCACCACACTGGAAGCTGAATTTAGCTTGATTTCACATATTTACCATGTGACGTGATTCGTAGGTACTGCCAATGAAAGCTACAATCTCTTCAAAATTTGACAAAAAAAAAGAAATCTCATGCACAATTCTCTGAACTCTAGATCAAATCATGTTGATGGGAGGTTCTGTGCAAGAGTTTGCTTTTTCTTTTTTACAATTCACTTGATAAACATATTGGAACACATTGAAAAAGCATAGTTTTGCTACATGAGTCAGGCATATCCATGACATAAATGTAAACTCTTCAATGACAAAAAAAATAGCTTTACAAAAAGATGAAAAAATAAAAGAATAAAATAAAAACATAAAATAAAAAATAAAATAAAAAAACCCTCCTTTAGGTGTCTGCAGGGAATGGAGAGATAAAATAATAACAATAAAAAAACCTCAATAAGTTGGTCACAATATGCACCATAGTATTGAAACAGTGCTGCTTACCAAATACACCCAGTCTCCACCTCATTACAAACAAAATGATCACATTGCTGTATCTTTGCTTTTATGGGCAAATGATCAAATACTACCATCACCTTAAGCACACTTTAACACTAAAACAGGAACTACCATTGGGAGAGGGTGGGGAGGACTCGAGCTGCCATTAATGATTGATTCCAATGCTCTTCTCCCAAGGTTTTCCACTTCATTGTTTGAAAAACAAAACACATATTAGGCATAAAGTACAATAAACGACAGCTATTATCAAACTTGAAAAAATAAAATGAAAAGAGCCTCAAGGGCAGAGTTGATTAGATAACGCTTTTCAACGGGGTGAGACGAGCTGCCAAAAGAGGAGATGACCAGTGTCGCTGATGTGGATGATGTTGCATGGCAGAATGGAAAGCACATTTTCCGGGAATTAAAAGATGGAGGTCAGAGGTGACTAACCAATATTTCTTGTCACCTTGTGCCAAAGGCCAAAGAAGAGTATTCTGAGGATGGAAGCTGCGGGTGGCTGGCAGAAAGTGATCTGAGGAGGGCTGGAGGGATGTGTCAAGGAGATGAGGGGAGGAAAAGGGATACGACCAGTCAAGGCACAACATGACGGTTGGAGATACAGAACAAATGCCAGAGATCTTACAAACATTATCCAGGCCTCATGTTCTGTCATTTATAAATATTCATATATGTATATATTTTTATATATATATATATTTATTATTATTATTTTATTTGTCTTTTAATCAAGGACAATTACGAAAATATAATACAAAATCTACAACAGAAAATATAAACTACACCTCAAATCACCAGTATGTTTTGGCTTCTTTTTTCAAAAGTAATTTCTTTCTTTTTTTTTTTTTTTTTGGTCTAATCTGCTTTAAAGACTGGGACTGTCTAAAGAGTTGGAATTCCTAGCACAAAGAACTTTCTTTTATATACCTATTATTGCACACTGCACTGCATATATACTGATGAAGAATAAAGGCTTAAAAAATATTGCAAGTTACAGAGAAAGACATGGGACTAAAAGCATCAATATAATTATATTCTGATGGTACCAACACCTCGACAAGTGTTTTCCCCATCTCTACACCTTCGCAAGTACAGTCATGCAGTTTTGACTAGTCAGTTTGATTGCTGCCCTGGATTTTTAGCCTTTTGCTCCCTTTCCATTAATCTATTAAGGAGTCTATACTGCCTTAAATGACAGAACTAGGCAGCAAGGTAGTTACTAAGTTTTGGAACAGAGCCAGTTTCACACCGCAGCAGAACAGACAAGTTAAAACTGCATTACCACACCACATGTTCTTACTAAAACCACATATTGCTTGTTTGTTTGTGTGTATTTGTGAGGTTGGGTCAGATATAAAGTGTTGCAAGGGTTGAGAGGGAAAAGAGTTTTCTGATGAGTGGAAGTCAGCCAGGTGTTTCCTGCCAGCTGGGAGTGGCTAATGGGTATGTTGGCGGTGACACACTGTAGCGGTCTGACACGGCCTAGCAGATGTGAGCCTGTAATCTGTGGGAATGTGAATGGTGGCCTCCATCGCTGGAGCTGCTCTGCAGGCTGTAGTGGTCCTCACCATCGCTAACACTGTCCACACTATCATTCTCACCTGGCGTGAACTCCATTCCCTCTATGTCAATATCCACATCTGTGAAAACATAGAAATAAAATCTCATCAAAAGTGATTTATACACATAAATCAAAGATCCCAAGAGTAAAGGAATATTCTTTGTTATATAAAACCTAATGTCTTTGGATGGCAAATATAAAATTTTGAAGCTTGCCACAGACAATAATGTTAACTTGTGTAAAAGGGTTATGGTTATACTTGTGAAATGTGAACTCCGGCGCAAAATGAACCTTTGGTCTAATAACACATTGGTACCTAGTCAACCGTTCGCTGAGATTTGTTTTCATGGTAATCGAATGTAAAGGGTTTTATCTCTAAAAACGGTTTAGATTATAACGCTAGTATATGGGGGCATATAATAAGTAGAAAGAACTCGCTAGTTAATAGCACTAACAAGGCTCAAAATAGCCCCACACTAACACAGTAACATTACACTTTAAAGTGTAAAGAGTTGAAATTACTATCTGTGGTAATCAACAGCATTTACAAGCACGCAAACTACAGCTGAATGCAGTCCAATGTCTGCTCATTTGCTTAACTGTTAAAGGTAGTGTAGGTCAGAATTTTTTTTTTTTTTTCCAAATTTCTTTAAACTTTCTGTATACAGTATATCAATGCATAATTAAATTCTAAGTACTCTGAAAAAGAAAGTATAAAAATCGAGTGTCTGCAGACCTCTCACGACTGTTTTAAAGACAGCTCATTATTTCCATTCACTTCACCCCCTCCCTTCTGGGCTCCTTCCAAAGCCACGCCCCCAAAACACATGAACGCGCGACTCCGACAGCTGAGCTGAAGACGCATTATTTACCTGAGACGAGAGGAAGGAGTGCATGTAGTGACATCATGTCAGAAACACATGTAAATAAAAAAATCTAACTATCATTATGAAGATAAACAAATAAGTTGTATTTTATTACTCACTATCAAGCTAGCATATTGATATTGGTAAAGTTTACAATATATATTTATTGATTCGCTAACGAGCTAGTTATCTATAAGGCAAAGCTAAAAACAGGTTGCATGATACACGTTTTTCCATTGCCATCATTTACACTGTGATGAAGATGAATTTCGTGTAAGATTCATAACATATATATGGTGTTCTGACTGCATGTAAGAGTTTGCTTGATGAAAGCATTGTTGATTCTGACGAGGACTACACTCCCGAGACAAGCAAGTTACCCATAGACAGTATAAGAAAGCAAGTACCGCATCGTCAACTCGAGGACAGATCCGTGGTCGAGGGCGAAGCAGAGGAGGTCGTGCAAGAGGCCGTGCTATTAGGGTCCGAGGAAGTAGAGGTCGAGAACGGGGTAGTCGAAGTGCAGGGCAAGGAGCACTTTTTAGACAAGAGGACCTGCGTCGAGTTTTGCATCTTCAAGCTCAAACAAGGGCATGCGAACAGGTACGATCTGGATACACGCAAGTGGGCAGGTCCTGTGTGGCAAAAGGGTGGTTGCCATGGTTGCGAGAGAGTGACAGTCGCCTAAGCCAATCCTTTCTTTCGTCCCGGTTCGAAATAATGAGCAGTGTTTAGTGCAGATTAAACGGTCTAGAGTCACTCGATTTTATACTCCTTTTTTCAGAGTACTTAGATTTTAATTATGCATTGATATATATATAGAAAGTTTAAACAAATTTGGAAAAAAGTTTTTATAAAATTCTGACCTACACTACCTTTAAAGGCAGGGTAGGCAGGTTTTTTTCTACTTTTCCCCAAATTAGTTTTAACTGTTATTTTATACCAATACATAATTAAAAAGTAAGTACTCGAAAATGAGAGTATAAAAATCAAGTGTCTGTAGTCCTCTCAGGGATGCAATAAATACAGCTACTTATTCCATTTGGAATGACTGAAATGATTAGCTGGGCTACTGTCACTCTCCCTCACTACCATGGCTACCAACCCTGCCACTACAGGAGCTGCCCACATGCCTGCACCCGTTTGACTCGAGAAGGGGAAGAGGCACGTACTGGCCGGAAGCTAGGAAGAATCACAATTATGGCAGAAAAAATGCTGTCAAAATTCCCAGTACCTGCATATACAGTCTGCGAAGGCAAACAAGGCAAAAAAAGGACCTGTCCTTGAGCCGACAATGCGGTACTTGTCTCCGGAGTGTAGTCCTCATCAGAGCCAACAGTACTTTAATCGTGGAAGCTCTTACATGCAAAACACTGTATATGTTATGAATCTTGCACGAAATTCGCCTTCATGACAGTGTAACTGATGGTAACGGGAAAACGTGAATAAAGCAACCTGTTTTTAGCTTTGCCCTATGTTACTAGCTTGTGACCGAATCAAACTCAATATATTTTAAACTTTACCATTATCGATATGCTAGCTTGATAGCGAGTACTAACAGTCATGTTAGTTGATTATATTCATAATGATAAAGTTAGGTATTTTATTACATGTCATTCTGACATGATGTCACTACATGCACTGCGCTCGTCTCCGCTCGGTGCCAGTGAACGCGTCCTTCAGCTGAACGGACGGCATCATGTGTTTTGGGGGCGTGGCTTTGGATGGAGCCAAGAAGGGAGGGGGGGGGAGTGAATGGAATAAGTAGCTATGTTTATTGCAGCCCTGAGAGGATTACAGACACTCGATTTTTATACTCTCCTATTCAGAGTACTTACATTTTAATTATGTAGTGGTATATAAAGACAGTTTAAACAAATTTAGGAGAAAGGTTATAAATACATATATATAGAACTGTGAGAACATTAAAACATTCAAAGGCATTCTGAAATTTGTTAACTTATCAATTAAACTTTGCACTTAACCTGTAATGCTAATCGTACAATTTTTACTGAAAATTTAAACAAAGTCTCAGACATCTGGACCTCACTGTAGAGATCGATATAGGTCACATGATCAGGAATCAACTATGGTCATATAGCCTGTATAGTCCATAGGATATACACGATATGTGTAGCATATGTAACAGCATGTGTAATTGCTGTAAGTGTAAAACTTAATTTTGTTTTTTAAGGTTTTATTGGATGTATTTCAGCATACATGTGATATTTCAGTTGTGCTGTACCTTGCTCAGAGTCAGTGGAGATGGTGGAGCCCATGCTGTCAGTGCGAATGCGCTCTAAGCCCTGTACAGAGAGCTGCTCCAGACGCCGTTTGAGGTAGCGATGTTCTCTTTGCAGTTGCTCCTTCATGTTTAGAGCCTTCCTGTCCTGTTCCTCCAGCTTCTGCAGAGCATATGTTTCCACTGATCAAACCACAGAGCACAGAAACACCACACTGCATGACATGCATCTACCAGTTGGTACCTTGAGCATGCACAGTGCAAGAAATCCACAATTTGTGAGAGCTAAAAATGGAAACAATCACATGAACAGATTGGTGCATGACTATGGTGCATGACAGGAAACCAAACAGGGTGAGCTGAAATACTGTGTAACAAACAGGAAAGAAACAAAAGGGCCAACAGAGACATGGTACCGGGTTGCCTTAGTCTAGTCTCTGTTTCAAAGTGACAGTTTGATGAACACATTCCATTCAACTGATGCTAAATGCCCTTTTTCATTAGGCAAATTTAAATGAATTAGTGACATAAAAGAGTGTCCATAATAAATAAAAGATCAAATTCTAGTTTGTCAAAAATTTTCAAGAAATTTTCAATTGAATGACTCAACAGATATAGTCATGTGGTTTAACAATCAAGCAATAAGTAATAACGACTTTAGTACACATAGAACACATTTGCTTGTACACAACCTAATAGTTATTTCAAAAAGGTTATTCATTCACAAATATAATTTTTGATACATCAAATATAAAGTATTCTTACATCAGTCTTAGCCTTGTGTTTCCTTTTTGTTTAGTTTTGTCATTTTTTATTGTCAACCTATTCTGTTTTTTGTTTGGTCAAGCTTTAGTTGACTAAAAGTCTGGGAATTTTAGTCTAGTTTTAGTCATTGAAAACGTGTCATATTCTAGTCATGGTTAAAAGATAATTACAATTATTTTGCTCATCATGATTTCAAGCACACATCAAGACAATGTCAACTCACATGCATGGTTTATTTTACTCAATTACTCGCCTAGTTTCCTGCTTTAAAAATGTGTTCATATAAATGAACACACTATCTACATTATGAAAACTGAAAAAAAGCTAAAACAAATCATTTCAATTCAAAATATGTCAAAATTTTTCTATAAAAATAATTTGTACCGTCACACTGATAGGGATGCACGATAATGGATTTTTGCCGATATCCGACATATCGATTTTTTTAACCAATTTTTAGCGATAACCAATACGAATAAAAATATTTATATTTTTACTTTGTATAGACATAACACCTCTCTCCTGTGTAGGAATTATAATTAAATTATTTTAAAATTTTAGTTAGGCTATGTTCACAAAGCAAGCTTAGTGCTTAATTCTGATTACTTGCTCAAATCCGATTCTTTTGGCTTTGTTTGGCTGTTCACGTTATTTTAAAAGTGGCCAATATTAGATTCGAGTCTTAAAGGCTTAGTTCACCCAAAAATGAAAATTAAGTCATTAATTACTCACCCCCATGCTGTACCAACCCTGTAAGACCTTCGTTCGTCTTCGGAACACAAATGAAGATATTTTTGATTAAATTTGAGAGGTGGATCACTGCTACATAGGCTGCCTAAGGAATGAAACTTGACGGCCCAGAAAGTCAATGAAGAAAATGTTTAAATATTCCATGTGACAACAGTGGCTCAACTATAAGTTTATCAAGCAACGAGAATACTTTTTGTGCGAAAAAACAAACGACTTTATTCGACTATTCCTTTTCTTCCTTGTAGGCCTGAAACGAGACTTCAAGAGATTTCCACGACGCATGTGCGAGAATTGGCTTTATGCATGGCTGCACTACTTCCTGAACTTAAGCCAGCTCCTTGTTTCCTGTCTGCCATTATTGGCCAAACTTGATTAATTCAGGTGTGTCTGATTATTGTTGCCATTACTACTGAGGTCAGGCACACCTGAATTAATCAATTTGGCCAATAATGGCAGACAGGAAACAAGGAGCTGGCTGAAGTTCAGACAGTAGTGCAGCTGGGCATAAAGCCATTTGCGATCTCCTTCAACTACTTCAGTTCAGCTCTCGCGCGTGCGTCGTGGAAATCTATGGAAGTCTCGTTTCAGGCCTACAAGGAAGAAAAGGAATAGTCAAATAAAGTTGTTATTTTTGTTTGTTTTTTTGTTTTAAAGTATTCTCGTTGCTTGATAAACTTATAGTTGAGCCACTGTTGTCACATCGAATATTTAAACATTTTCTTCATTGAATTTCTGGGCCGTCAAGTTTCATTCCCTTAGGCAGCCTATATGTGATACAGTGATACAGCTCTCAAATTAAATGAAAAACTTCTTAATTTATGTTCCAAAGACGAACGAAGGTCTTGGGGTGAGTAATTAATGACTTAATTTTAATTTTTGGGTGAACTAACCCTTTAACAGCTCACGATCCTAAACTGACACATATGCTCAAAAGAACAACAACAGAGATGAAACGCAGCACAGAATTATACAGAAGAAAACAGAGGTACAGTGATGTGCTGCGGAAGCCAGCGAATCTGTGCACAGTCGATAAAGAGGACACAGACGAGAGTGAGATTTTTTCTCATACAATTTTTCCTAAAGATTTGCTTGTATAGAACTGTCACCATAATCCATGAGTATAACAGCTCACCATCCCTCCACTGACTAACCTCACCACAGTATACCACATTCACGGAGTGACCAAAGAATTAACGGTATGTAAAATATTTGGACTGACTCCCATCAGCGCTGACTCTAAAGTGACTTGAAAGTTGCATGAATTCCGATATGGCTGTTTAAACTGAGGTCGCATTCCAAAACATCAGACCTGTGTCTGATTTAGAATCATAGGCTATATGGAATTGGCCCAAATCAGAATCAAAAAGATCAAAAGATCAGAACAAAAACCATCATATTTCAGCTACTGACTAATGAACAAAAAAAATCAGATTTGGGCCACTTTTGCCTGCAGTCTAAAAATAGCCATAGTATTAAAAAATATATATATATTTTTTTATTCAGGTTTTAGAGTTCTGAGGTCTCCTTATCAAAAGGTTACTTGATAGTGCTAAATAAACATTAATAAACTTATTTTTTTATAATAATAGTACACTGAAAGCTTTGGAAATAACAAAAGAATAAAACAAATCTTTTTCAGACAGATACAGTTGTAACCTAAATATTTCATTTGTGGATTTAACAATTGTAGATGGTCTACAGCAATGGAGTCATCAACACATGAGGCGCGGGTGGCGTGACTTCAGTTGAAGGATGCCGCCTTTAGCCTCAGATAAAAATTCTACAATGCTTTTAGAGTTCCTTGGATTCAAGTTATTTTCATCATCTGTTTGAAAAAAATATATTACAGATTAATGAATTTACAAGTGTCATTTATTTATCATGTAGGCTATAGTTACTGACCATTAAATCAAATCGGACTTGTGATTGTATGACATCAATTACTTCTTGCTTTATTGAGAAACAGAAGAGACTTAATTTTGTTTGTGTATTTTACGTTTAATTTTATAAAGCCTAACAAGAAGATCTTCAGCTCCCCCCTAAATAAATCAAACTTCCTACAGGGTGTGCACTAGGACCCGAGGGAGGCTGCTGCTGCTGCAGATTGGGTGGAATTTCCATCAAGGTAAAAAAAAAACAGGCATGAAAAATATCCATTCAAGAGAAATGTTCTGATTGGGGGATTTGGCAACTGCTACTTGGGTGGAGTGATTAGTGCAACACTCCAAACAAACTCTCTGCTCCTCACCACGGGGCTTCTCAGGTGCTGCGAGCAAATCACTCTGCCCAAGTAGCAGTGCTTCACCAATAGTTCCCAGTATATAGACGGTTAAAAGATGCCTGTGTCTCATATGACCTTTTTATTTGTACATAGTGAGACTATATGAATCACAAGATATAAATAGGAAAATTTTGGCGTTATATTGTCACTTATTGGGAACAGTATGCTAGTTGGAGCCATTTACTTCCAGTCTTTGTGCTAAGCTAGGCTAGTGGTGGGTGCGTCAGACAGAGTTAACAGCACAGAGAAAAAGATATGTACGGACTTATCTCACTCTGGGGGACACAGTGAATAAGCTAAAGTCCTAAAAAGTGCACCTTTAAATAACAAAACACAAAAGACTTTAAATTTAAAGGACAACTCCGGCGCAAAATGAACCTTTGGTCTAATTACACATTGCTACCTAGTCAACCGTTATCTGAGATTTGTTTTCATGATTGCCGAATGTAAATAGTTTTATCTCTAAAAGCAGTTTAGCCTATAACGCTAGTATAATGCTAGTATATAGGGCATAGAGTAATGACAAAAAAAAAAATCGCTTGTTATTACCACTAACAAGGCTCAAAATAGCCCCACACCAACACGACAGCATAACAAGGGTCCCTACATTCAAACCGAAGCATTGAAAACTTTGTCAGTGTCCATACAGTTTAATAAGAAAATATTTTATAGACACAGTCAACTTCGCGAATACAGGAAGAAGCCATCTTTGAAAAATAGTCCCTATCAGTCGATCTACGAACGCCGATCCAAGTGCGCTGAACTGAGCACAATCTCATATGGTCCGTTGTTTCCAGAAGAAACACAAACACAAACCGTTTACTTCTCTTCAATATGTACACGTAGCCTACTGTTCGCGCTCACCTTATCACCTTATTCACATCTCACCAGCGCACTTGGATCGGCGTTCGTAGATCGACTGGTCAAGACTATTTTTCCAAGATGGCTTCTTCCTGTATTCGCGAAGTTGACTGTGTGTATAAAATATCTGCTTATTAAACTGTATGGACACTGACAAAGTTCTCAATGCTTCGGTTTGAATGTAGGGACCCTTGTTATGCTGTCGTGTTACTGTGGGGCTATTTTGAGCCTTTTTAGTGGTAATAACAAGCGATTTTTATTTGTCATTGCTCTATGCCCTATATACTAGCGTTATACTAGCGTTATAGGCTAAACTGTTTTTAGAGATAAAACTATTTACATTCGGCAATCATGAAAACAAATCTCAGATAACGGTTGACTAGGTAACAATGTGTAATTAGACTTAAGATTCATTTAACGCCGGAGTTGTCCTTTAAGAATAATGTTAAACTCAGATAGCCTATATTACCATCTCAACCGCGTTAGGAACTGTGGATTATCCGAGTTGCAACATGGAGAGTGACATAAACTTCCTGTAGACAGTTCCTGATTAACTTCCCCTCTGACTGTAATTGCTTTAAGCTGCTCTAACCTCTTTGCTACTGTGTAAAATATTGTCAGAAAGATGCTGATATGTTTGTACCTTGATGTGCATTTTGGCGCGTTTGAGCAGACTCAGTGTGGTGTGACGGGTGCTATCAGGACCCAAAGGCACAAGCTGTTTCAACTGCTCCAGGTACAACCGCAGTTTGGCACGTCTGCAACAAATAAAGAACAGGTTGAATAGGATTATTAGCCTGAGACTTATTCAGGATGCTGCTTTGGGCTACAAACGCAAATGTTGCAGGTTTGAATGCAGGGATGAAAGAGGAACTAGACTGAAATTGCAGATTTATGCAAGTGGGAGGTTTCTGTAATTAAATTAAATATAAATTAACCAAGACCTTACAAAAAGACTCCACAGGGCTCCACAGATACTAAGACATGTCATGTAATACAACAGAGATGCATTGTTTAACCTATGTGTGGATTTATGTTGACAGAAAGCCATCCAGAATTAAGGGGGACAAAATATTCAGTATAAAGGTCTATTCTCACCAAAAATCAAACCAGAAATGTGAAACTAATGTTTTTTTTTGGGATGAATGAAAAGTAATTTCATGCCATATATAACAGTGAGAAGTCTAAGTGATGTTGTACTCTACAGTACATCAGCACTCTCCATTAAGGCACTGCCTTTTTTCTTGTTTTTTCTTCTTTTTTTTAAGGAGAGAGAAAGAAATCCACACACAATTTTACAGCCAATGCTTAAATGCACAAAAAGTAGGTCTTTTTGAAAAAAAAAAAAAAAAAAAAGCATTAGCTTACAAATGTGAGTGATGTGAGAAAAGGAAGTGGATGAAAATGTATTTCTGTGACTACCTAACCCAACCTGAGAAACATGATTAATGACTGTACAGTGTACTTGACAAATGCACACCTAACCTTGCCACTCTTATAACAAAGAGATGATGCCATGCAATGCGTGTGGAATAAAAAGCAATCAAGTCCTCAATAAGTATATGATAGCTAATATGTAAAATGTTACAAAATAACATTTATTTATAATTAAAGCATTCACCTTATTCCTACGCCCCATGGCGCTTTGCGCAAATTATGGGTGTAACTTCCATTAAGCTGTAAACAATCAGTGAAAGGCTCGCTCTATAAACACAATACGTTAAAAAAGTGTCACAATGAGATGACATTAATCGACTCAACCTTCAACCAACGAACATTAAAATGAAATTTAAAAGTTTAAAAGAATCAACAAGGTAGTTTCAACAGACCAAAAGTAGTCTTTGGTTAAATATCACTGTAGAAGGCAAATATCTCTAACAAGCCTTAATCAAAAATGTTCATTAACTTCAGCATTACGTGACACTACATCAAAGTGATTTCTGTCATTTTGACAGACTATAAATTGCATTTACCTGTGAAAACAAACCTGGAAAGAGACGTGAGGATTTGAGGAGAGACTCTTTGTTCATTCCAGTGAATTATTAATGGAATATCATACATTAAATTCGGGAGAACCACAAATGTGCTGTATACAGTATGTTGTCCTTTTTCATACTTTTGCAGCGGATTGCAAAGGAAAAAAAGAAAATCATCATGAGGAAAAGAAAGCAGTGAATGAAAAGAGCTCTTGCCGTAGATATTCTTATTATAATTCTTGTTACAAATCTTGTTATATTCGTATTACATTTTATGGTTAAAATACCAAGTATAACGTATTCATGACGTATTCAGACATACACTCACCGGCCACTTTATTAGGTACACCTGTCCAACTGCTCGTTAACACTTAATTTCTAAGCAGCCAATCACATGGCGGCAACTCAGTGCATTTAGGCATGTAGACATGGTCAAGACAATCTCCTGCAGTTCAAACCGAGCATCAGTATGGGGAAGAAAGGTGATTTGAGTGACTTTGAACGTGGCATGATTGTTGGTGCCAGAAGGGCTGGTCTGAGTATTTCAGAAACTGCTAATCTACTGGGATTTTCACGCACAACCATCTCTAGGGTTTACAGAGAATGGTCCGAAAAAGAAAAAACATCCAGTGAGCGGCAGTTCTGTGGGCGGAAATGCCTTGTTGATGCCAGAGGTCAGAGGAGAATGGCCAGACTGGTTCGAGCTGATAGAAGGGCAACAGTGACTCAAATAACCACCCGTTACAACCAAGGTGGGCAGAAGAGCATCTCTGAACGCACAGTACGTCGAACTTTGAGGCAGATGGGCTACAGCAGCAGAAGACCACACCGGGTGCCACTCCTTTCAGCTAAGAACAGGAAACTGAGGCTACAATTTGCACAAGCTCATCGAAATTGGACAATAGAAGATTGGAAAAACGTTGCCTGGTCTGATGAGTCTCGATTTCTGCTGCGACATTCGGATGGTAGGGTCAGAATTTGGCGTCTACAACATGAAAGCATGGATCCATCCTGCCTTGTATCAACGGTTCAGGCTGGTGGTGGTGGTGTCATGGTGTGGGGAATATTTTCTTGGCACTCTTTGGGCCCCTTGGTACCAATTGAGCATCGTTGCAATGCCACAGCCTACCTGAGTATTGTTGCTGACCATGCCAACTTCTGATGGCTACTTTCAGCAGGATAATGCGCCATGTCATAAAGCTGGAATCATCTCAGACTGGTTTCTTGAACATGACAATGAGTTCGCTGTACTCAAATGGCCTCCACAGTCACCAGATCTCAATCCAATAGAGCATCTTTGGGATGTGGTGGAACGGGAGATTCGCATCATGGATGTGCAGCCGACAAATCTGCGGCATCTGTGTGATGCCATCATGTCAATATGGACCAAACTCCCTGAGGAATGCTTCCAGCACCTTGTTGAATCTATGCCACGAAGAATTGAGGCAGTTCTGAAGGCAAAAGGGGGTCCAACCCGTTACTAGCATGGGGTACCTAATAAAGTGGCCGGTGAGTGTATATTCTCATGATGTCTGAAAATAAATCATGAAGGAAAATTCACAGCTCATCCAGTCAAACTGATGGATCAGCTTTATTTGTAGGGCAACCTAATGATTTGAAATGATTAGTTTTTTGAGTGGAAGTTTCCCAAACCAGAATTGCCACCCATAATTCAAAAGGCAGTAAACTCGTCAAGAATAAGGTGGATACTATTTGCCCAACTTCTAATGGCCACATGTCTTAAAATACTGTGATGGGAAAAAAAAGAAAAGAGCACTAAAATGATATGCTAAATAGATTAGTTAATTTTCCCGAGTTAATTTGCAGTTAGACTTATTGTTGTTCTCATTTAGTTTTATTCAAGCAACTGCTATCACTCAAGCAACTGCTAAAAATGGGTCCAACAGCACTTAAAGGATTAGTTCACTTTTGAAAAAACGTTTGCTGATAATTTACTCACCCCCATGTCATCCAAGATGTCCATGTCTTTCTTTCCTCAGTCGAAAAGAAATTAAGGTTTTTGATGAAAACATTCCAGGATTTTTCTCCTTATAATGGACTTCCAAAATGTTACATTTTTGGAATAAGCTTTGAAATAACCGATCGTTTCGCATGATAAGACCCTTATTCATCGTTTGGTGTCGTTTAAAGACATTTGAAGCTGCATCTGAAACTGTTATTAACTGTCGTTTAGACCTCGGTTGGACCTGGCTCCCATTGAAGTCCATTATAAGGAGAAAAATCCTGGAATGTTTTCATCAAAAACCTTAATTTCTTTTCGACTGAGGAAAGAAAGACATGGACATCTTGGATGACATGGGGGTGAGTAATTTATCAGCAAAAGTTTTCAAAAGTGAACTAATCCTTTAAAGAAAGCCTGGGGAGTAAACTAAAAATATATAATGTCCCTGCCAACACAGAGGCTATTTGAAATAGATCAAGAGTCACATTATAATGACTCTGTAAATGATTACCATGAGCTAATCTAACAGGACACTGTATCTTAAGAGCTTCTCTTTCTATTCCTGCTATGTTTGTTTTTCACAGCAATGGTGCACTGAATAATACTTACACTGAATAATACATATGATTTCACTGAATAAAACTGAAATATCCAATAAGGTTTCAACTCCTGAATACCTGATCTCACTGAGTGCAGTGATCTGATTTATGGGTCAAACAACACAAGTTAAGTCAGTTAAAGGTTCTATATGTAACTTTTTTTTATAAAATGAATCCTTTTTTATTGCCTGTGTTTGAATGGGTTGTAATCACACATTGCAATGATCCACTTTTCGGGTTTTGCCATTACCTCTGAAGGCCAATATTCATTTTAATATGTGAGGTCTCCGGGTCGGATTTCCTGCGAAATCCATCAGATGTGACGTGCATGCGTGCTCCCGAGCCTCTCTATCCAGTCAACCATGTCTCTATCCAGTCTCTATACGGTCAACCATGTCTCTAACCAGTCTCTATACAGTGAACCATGCGACCAACGGCACTTCAGCTGAAGACATGGAGTCTGATAACAGCCCAAAACGTCCTGCCTCCAGCACAACACAGACTCCAACACAAACTGCACATAAATATAAAAAACAAAAAAGTTTTCTGCCCAAGCTCGTCAGGCAAAACGTGAATCTGATCGACTCTGGACGAAAACGCAGATCAACATAGTAAACTGTAGTGAAATAGCAAGGTAAACTACATGAAACATGACATGAATACAAAAGAATGTTCCAGTCGGTGCTTTAGGATGTAACTTATTTTATTTACTCGATCTACTGACTAACGTCACTCATCCCACTACTGTCATATTGTTTATAATACACATATCCAGACACGTTCAGTACAGTAATGTTACTTCCACGATCTTACTGATACACTGAAACTGTTCAGTTTAGTTCACTAACCGTTTTCATTATCATATTATAGATTCACCTGTGTTGACATTGCTGATTGTGAAAGATACACGAAAATAGTTAGTGAAATGGCTTATAACATCACATGTCGGCTAAATGCAGTTTATTGTAACATTATCATGGTATGAGCACAGAGCATTAGTTCAACGTCAAGCTGATAAAAGTAGGCTATTATTGTAACTGCAGTGGGAGTTTACATTAGTTTCCAGCATGTTGTGTGATGCTTTTTCGCCGTTGCGTTGAAAGTCTCCGTGTGGCCGGTAGTGAATGCTCGCTTTTGAGATCGAGCACGCACACGAGCTCTCTTGTTGCATTCTGAAACATCACCGCTAGAGGCCGCTAAAAATCGCATACAGCACCTTT